AAAAGACATGAAAGAATTCATACTGGTGAAAAAGCGTTTCAGTGTAAAATCTGTTCTAAATCATTTCGTGAATGTAGTCATTTGAAAAGACATTTAAGAATTCATACTGGAGAAAAAGCGTTTCAGTGTAGAATCTGTTCTAAATCATTCCGTGAATGTAGTCATTTGAAAAGACATGAAAAAATTCACACTGCCAAAAAAACCATTTTTGCTGTTTGTCATTCAGTGAGTGTAGTGGTTTGAAAAGACCCAAAAAAGTTTATATTGGCGAAAAACCGTTTGTGTATGTTCATTATTATCCCCAAAAACATTACATGGTCATATATGTAGAAATTATGTAACTAGTTGAACATTAACCTCTAAAAAACTAAATATTGTGATCGTTTCTTCGGAATCAACTTTTTTACCAGCATTTATCTGATCAAGTTTTGGCATGAATGCCGATTGACGTATTTATAAATTGCCTGTTTTCTTAGAAGAAATATTGTGTTTTATTTCATTTTTTCAAAATCTATGTGTTTCCTGATTTAATCGTTTATATAATTTAGTTTTCTGAGCATTGTATAATAATTGATTTTTCTCAAAATCAACCTGTTCAATCAGATATAATCATTTATCTAATTAAGTTTTGTTATCATCTACTGTTACATAATATACATTGTACGGATCCAAGTGATTTAGTTAGTAAGTAGTTGAAAATAATTTATTGTGAAAATTACTTAATTATTATCAAGGAAAGTCAGTGTATTCATAATACCTATTTTCATTATTTCATTATTAGTTACCCACTTGAGTAAAGAATTTCAATTGGTTTATTCAATTTTTTCTTCCTTTCTCCACCAGTTTTTTACTGTCTATACTTACTCGATCTCCCACTTGAAGCTTTCCAGGCATTTTTATAGAAATTGACAATAATCAAGAATCCAGTGATAACTTCCAGTAGAAAAGACATACCAGGAAATTTTGCGAATTCAAAACCATGTGCATCAATATGGCAGATTTGTTGTTTTTTATAACTCTACATTCAGATAACAGATAATTCTCAGATAAATTTGATGAGCTTTCATTTAGATTCTGTGACAAGGAATTTTTACAGATTTGGGAATTATTGAAAATATGTAGTACATGCTTGAACTCAAGGCCGTGCAAAGTTTCTTCCTTTGCAGGCGTCAATCTTTCCAAATTTGGAATCGATAGACCTTTTCTGAAGAAGTATCTACCGCAAGTGGTGAGATTTACAATGTGAATGGCTCAACGCGTTATTTATATTTATTACTTTCAGTCGGTGGAAAACGATAAAATCAAAAAATGCAAACTTTCACAGCCAGAGATAACAGTGAAAGCTATTTTCCGGTTTTTTTTTGGCCGTGGTCTGCAGGTTTTATGCCCGACGTTACGTCTACTACTGCGGTAGATATCAAAGGTGAAAGGTAACTGTCGCAGTACCCGAGTTGTTGTTTCCGTTCCGAACGCAGTAACTACAATGCTGATATTTGACTCTGGTTTTATTTTATTATTGGTGGATTACCCGACCTTGTTTGTACAACTAAAGACAGGTAGCCAGATTTTATTAATGCTCATTGCCTGTTTCCTATTGAAATTATCCCCATTATTTGGATTTCTATTACCTTTGTATATACTTTGGATAGTCATTTTGAGTTTTATGGAGTATTAGTGTTACTCTGAATGGATGATTAGAATGCCTTCTTTGTTGAGAGCATGTTAGGCTACAGCTATCGGTTTGCAAGTCATTATAGATGAGAATCTTTGTTTCGAAAAACATGTGAATGAACTAATTCGCAGAGCATATGGACAGTTGAAATTGATATATAGTAGTAGACAATATTTATCAAGAAAAATCAAATCAATACTTTTCGAGAGCTTGGTTTTTGTCCAATTTTAATTTCGCAGTTTATCTCTATGGTCCAAATCTCACAGTTTTTTATGAAAAGAAAATACAAAATTAATGAAACTGATCAACGGTTCCCTTTATTTCTTGAATGGGTCGCTTAAGTTCTTCTTTAGAGGGACTTGAGGGCACTTTGCAGTCCCGTAAGTGCAAAAATATTCATTTACGACATTCCTTATTGATTATTTCTCTGCGATTGCCAAATGAGGATGCCGTATCTACTACACAGAATACTAAAATGACGCAGATACGGCATTATAGTTTAGTAAGTCAGCAAATATTTGTAACAATGAAAGCTGGATCTGACTTTTCAGTAAAAAAAAATAATTTTTTTGGAAAAATTTCCTGTTCAGTAGATTTTCAATATTATTCTACATCAGAAGTCATCTTTCCTCAATCAAATATATCGTTCTACACAAATCAAAATACTTTGACGCAGGATTTATCGATACTAGGTCACCAGTAGATACCGCATTTGATTTTAGCACGGCAGTATAAACACAGACATATACCCTAGACGGTTCACGGCAATGCTAAACAACAGAGACGGAAAAAAGCGCCATCTGAAGATTTGTATCAGTATCATTGTGACGGACGCGGGATATTCAAATGTTGTATATAGTTGGAATATTCATTTTATTCAAATGTTTTTTGGAAATTTCAGATTATTGTTTAGAGTCTCAAACTACACTTTATACTGATTGTTGAGTGGACTTTAAACAATACGCTGAAATTTCCAAAAACAATGTAAAAATTATAGTCAGAACAAATGTATTTTGCCTCAAAATGACTATCACACAGCCTTCTAGAACCGTAAACTTTTTTTGGGTCCATTTCCATCAGTTCCAAGTTATTAATTACCAGTATCCATTTCTTGAATCTATTTATATCTTTATCTGGATTAGGGAACGCATGTCTTATACTAGATATACTTTTGCAATAAGGAACGCAACATTTGTTGTGGTAAACCATTGTAAAACAATCAAAATAACGAAATAAATAATCACTAGGGTACACAGTCAGACAACAACATCACAGACCAACAACACGAGTCACATGACCTTTTTTTTATATATTATGCACGTTTTTCTTCTTCTTATTTTTACATACATCACAAACCACAAGAATATATGTGGGTCCGTGACATAAAACCAAAGAACAAATTTACAGTGCCATCTTAAGACTTGTATCGGTTCTAAAAAAGGGATTCAAGGTGAAGTAACCTACGTGAACCGTCTAAGGTATATGGTCTGTGAGTATAAACCACTGTTTCTTTAGCAACACTTTACGGCACTCACTACTACTAATAATGTAGATATCATTTTCAACATAAAAATGAGAAATAGATACGGCATTTTTAACCATTTCCCAACTGTAATAGTCCTCTTATCAGAGAAGAACTAAACAATTAACAAAAAAGAAGCGTAAGAAAACACTGAGAGTTCCAAATACATTCCAACTGAGCAGTGGTGTACAACAATTTGTTGCTATTAACAATATTGAAAAAGTTAATGATCGGAAAGAACTCTTTTAAATACGTCCAAATTTAAAGATCAAGGTTGTTGCTGTTTATGGCAAAAAGGGTGCTTTGAATAAAACTATTGCCATTTTATAAATGAAAGCAGAAAAAGGGTCATTTTCCAGTAAAAAAAAAGTGACAACCAAAATAATACATTTATTAACAAATTACAGGATCACAGACAATGAACATTCATTACATAAATTGTTACACTGGAATTCAAACATAAATAAATTGTATGTACACTACGGAGAAGCGTATCCTTGCTTGAGAAAACAAAACATTCACGTCGGTGAATATTCCATATAAATTTGTCGATTGGTGTGTTTTGAGGTCTTTTATGTACAGTAGTGTAATAAAATAATATAAACAATCAGTTATCACTCCATTGCTTTTTTTTTCAAAATTACCCCATTAGTTAATTTACCTTATTAAGTGACAACGATTATGGACGTACAATCGTTGATTAAGTGTTGTGCCAACTGCGGTAAAATAATGACATTTGACATTTGCTAATGATTAAATAACCTATCTTTCTGAGTTTCTTCTGCATTTTCATTTTTGGGTCATAATTGGGACAGACTATCCTATTTTTTCTTTATAGCTGATTCTTCATTCTGGAGCCCCAACTTCATATAGGATGACTGAAAATCTCTTTTCGGTCGTATTCTGGAAATCAGTTTCTCATTTACCGAAAATGAAAATAATGCAGAAGGAACTCAGAAAGATAGGTTATTCATTTATTAGCAAATGTCAAATGTCATTATTTTACCGCAGTTGGCAACTATGGGGTCGCATCATTTAATAAGGTCAATTATGATTCAATCAGCAGATGAAAGCGACAAAATGAATTTGTCACTTGTTATATTTGAACTTGTTTTTTTTTCTATTGTGATCTGTAGGTTATTACCTGAATATAAACTGATCTCTGCTTATCGAATCAATATAGATTAATTGTCACAAAACAAGTAACTTCGAAATTTCATTCGTTTGTTGCTCATATCTCTGTTGACACATAATCCAAATCTGATTACTAATGGAACATTGGAAGTCTCCACATAAAAACAATATTTTTCATGATAGGAAACCAAACAACAATGTTCCTTATCAATTTTTGAAGGGTTGTTTTTTGAACTTTAATTACTCTCAAGTCATGTGACATCACTTTATCAGTTTACTAGAGTTGAGGAACATGCGAGGTCACACTTTTTGGGGCGAAACTTGAAATAAAATTTAAAATAATGATTTTTGAATATTCTAAAATACAAATCATGAAATTATAAGAAAACAACAAAAATTAATTGGCGCTCCGAGGCCTCTTGAGATACCCTACATTTTGTTTTATGGGAGAGAGGATATTGGCAGATCAAGATCTTCAAATTTTCTGGGCTATATTAGGAAAGCATGCATAAAAACTACTTCCATTCAAATTTCAACAAATGTTAACTCTTTGAGGCAGTTCGAAGTCGATTGCTTCTCATTTCTTTTGAAAACATTTCTTTCAAATTAGATACTTTGAATAAGAACATTTTGTCTGCCACCAAGTTTTCATTTTAGCAATGAGCAATAAGGAGTTTGAAAGTTGTAGATATAACCTAGACATTTAAATACCTTGCCATGATGATACTCGGGAACAGAAAAAATTAAGAGGAGCTTCACCTTTGCACATCTTGGACATTATAAACAAGCACAGCTTATCTGTTTTGGTGTTGAAACATTTTCTCAGTCACAATTATTTTGGAAATTAAAATTTTTTTGCTGAAAGATCCCTTGTCATTTCAAAAGGAGTGATATATATTTGTGCATATCACATCATGAACAGGAAAGACCGATTGAAGCTCTTGCTATAATCGGTAAACAAATAAAAGCACTTTTAAAAATCCCATTCCAAGAAACAGCCCCTTTGGAGCTGAAGTCTACACAGTTTTACTTTTCAATAAAGGATTCTCTCAAAATAATCAACTCTCAGTTAATTTAAGGATGCTTTCGAAGTATATCCTTTGAAATTATACCATGTTTGCAACCAGTACCCTGTCTCAATTGGAATTTTTACAAACCACTAGTCGAAATTTTTTACTGTTGAAAATCTCACGCCACAGACCACTTGTTTGTTCTGAAAACGTCTCAGAACAATAACTTTTGTCGTGGACTCCACATAACATGTTATTGTTCTGTGACTAACATTTAGTTCTTCTCTTTTATACGGCAAATGTTTTCGTTGTTTTTTGACTTGACTGACGCCTGCTGGTGTTGAAATTCAGTTGGTTCATGTGGTTTGGACTATTTTTGAGCCGTTGCATGTAATGCAGCTGTGTTCCTGAACCGCTGCTGTCAGCCCACTGAAAATAAACAGAGTTCTTTGTAGAAAAACACAATATTTGTATGGAAAATTCGAATTAAATTACAAATAATACCTGAAAATTATACATTGAGAAATATAAATGATTATTTGTCTATGTAAGAGAATGGATATTGTTGTGGTATCACACTGATCGTTACAAAATAAAAATTAAATTTTATTTCATTATATCGCCTGCAGAACTTCCTAATGTAGTAGTATTCAATAGAAATGTTCAAGAAAGGTCCATGGAAACAAAAAATATTATTATATATACTGGAAATGAGAAATCACTTTCCGCCTCTCAACTGCTTCCACTGCAAATAAGCAACTAATATATTTTCAGTAATAATCAAGTGCAATTATCGCAACTGTCGGTTCTAGAGAATTTCTACTCCTTCTGTTGAAATATCCAATTAGATGAATATAAGACGTTCGAGTTCGTCGATGAGCTTCTTTTAATTAGAATCCAAAAGCACTCAACGAGAAAGAGATTCCACTTCTGAACCATAGAATTTGTTAAACTGCATATCTCAATCCGCAACCCAACGCTTGACATAATTGTGATAACTTCAATCTGAGAAGTTTGCGTTATTTCCGGAAATTTGACAAGATTCATCAGTTGCTGGCGTTTGAAAGAGCGTGATTTTTTATGTGCATAAGATTACATTTTTGTTAGGGAAGCTTTGTCGATAGATTCAATTACGATTTTGATTATTCATGTCACTTTTAGTGCCGTCACTTGAGTAATTTGAATCAAATATGAGACAAAGGTCAAGTTCTTTTCAGAAATGTCAGTTATAAAACACATTGTTTGCCGACCTTTCGATAGAAATATTTATTACAATTATTTTATAGACAGAGATACTCTCAACTAATTTCATGTCATGCTATTCTGATCTGGTGATGAAAAATATCTTGTCATCTGTTGAAAATCTAAATAAAACTCAAGGTATTGGAAAATGATTGGAAACATGCTATGGATGACAACATCATAACAGTCGGAAATTTTAAATTCAAAGTAAGCTTTCCCGTGCATTTTATTGCCACTGCGAAGACGTTCAACTGATTTCATTTTGTTTGAACTGTATGTTGATAGTTTTCAGGTAATGTTAAAGTAATTTCTTGGTCAAATAAGCCGCTTTTCTGTTTTTAATCGTTTATCGAACAATTTTTTTGTGTACTTATAGCTGAAAAACGTACCTAAAAGACTCCAACTCACCTTAACTATCTGTCTCCTCCTCTTGAACGTCATCTTTACGCAGAACAGATTCTTGATGGACCTTCTGAATTTCCTGGAGAGGGCGCAGTATATTATCGGATTCAATGCAGAGTTGGCATGGCCTAGCAGGCGTAGATACCTCTTCGATTGTTTCGTATGCTCTCCCGTTGAAGTGCCCAGATCGGCCATCAAGGTCATCAGGTGATACGGCAACCAACAAAGCGCAAAGACAAACGCAAGCAGCAGAAGGATACACGCTACCCGTTTCCTACCTTTGATCAGCTTGTTTCTCTGCAACAAATTGAAAGGCTTTTAAGAAATCAGCAGATGGTGAGATTTTCATATGTCAGTTGCCATATTTTCAATGTAACTTTTTTTTTCGGTGTCAACTGCATCGACTACTAAATGGTCTAGTGTTATGTTAATGATTACCAGAGCACCTAGGAAGTTTTATGGTTATTCACAGTCACGCCATCTATTCATTGGGTATATTGAAAAACACCATGCACCCATGATGTTACGGAGTTTTTCGATTTGAAAAAATGTCACCAAGTTAGATGGCTTACAAGCAACGAAACCTGTCACTTGTCACGTCTCCAGAGTTGGCTCAGAACACCATAACTGAAAATGGTCACAGAACACCTTTATATTGATGTTGTTCTGTGGTTACGCACGAATTAGCAATGCGAAACCAGTTGAACAAGTTTGTAATTTTTACAACACCCTCTACGTTTATAAATTCATGCTCAATTTACAATAGCCATCATGTGCACCCCACGACTGTTAAAACCACCCCCCTGCTGAAACAGGAAGACGACGACAATTTACAATATTGATTTTAACGCTTTCAAATACTCAATTATGTAAATTGGAGTGTTTGCGGTTAGTTTCACGAGTTTGACACCTCTCATCTGTTAGACTGCAGCGAGGATGAACGGGGTCATCAAAATTCAGCATCCGCTCGCGTCCATTATTCTCAACATGAAGAATTGAGAACTGCATCTGTGTATTACGAGGGAAATTTTGGGGAAAATGTCCCCGATTTCTCGTCAGTGGTTTGAAAAGTCTACTGTTTTAAATTCCTTATAGGGTGACTATTCAATATACTCTTGAGCCACAGACGAAATACTTCTACCAACTTCAACTTTCTCTGATGTTTTTTTAATAAATACTGGTTTCACGTCGTGTTTCTAAGATTATCCCAATCCGATCTGTAACCTACTATCGCAGTAGTAGACGAAACGTCAGATTTAAAAACCTGAAGACCTCTGCCAAGATATTCAAAAATTCACAAATAGTTTTTACTCAAAGTGTTAACTGAGTAGAAGATCGCGTGATCTAACCGATTTTTGTGAAAAGTCACACATTCAAAGCCAGCTTTTCCTATTTGAAGAAAAATCATCTCCTGATCAGCATCTAAGTATCGCAATTTCCTCCAGCATCAATGAAATCAATTGGGAAAACGGATCTCCTGATAAAACTGAAACTTTCTGTTTTCTCTGTGATCCCTCATCGGAAAAACCTTGACCCAACTTTGCCTTGGGACCGTAATTGCCTCTGACATATCCAGAGAAATCTGCCAAAAGCAATCTATTCGAACAGAAAGGCTTAACGTGTGCCGCAATTCTTTCTACGGACGACAGGACCGTCTACAGGAGATATATGTAAATTGAATGTAAACCTTTAATCAAGGGAAATAGTAATTGAAATTGTACAAAATAATCGCATTACTTAAAGTTATCTCTAATTTTCTCTTGAGATAGTGCCTCTGAGAGTACGTATATCTAACTTTCTCGGTCGACCATAAGCACGCCTGATTAGTGAGTTTATATGTATGTAATGAAGACTTCACATTATAAGTTAATCCGATAACTTTAAAAGGTCGGCGAATGTTATATAGACTTGCAACTTAATATTGTCTATGGCCTTCTGTCGGTCTTTGTTATTTTGATTTGAGGAAATCAATAATGAGAGAATGTCAGTCCCTTTCGTCATATTGGCCTGAAAATTTCTATGCAAGCAAGCAGTGGCTTGCAGCTCAGTGGTCAACTATAGAGTATTTTAATAAGCGCCCCACGTTGGGCGCCAAATGTGATATCCACCTTCCCGTGGGTTGGGCTACCTATCGGGCGCGTCCCCAGGTGGTGGATAGGGGAACAACCAGGGGGCTGGAGGCCTTGTCCGAGAAGCCAATGGGGCCTTACGGAGGGGGTCGCCGGACTCCTGGTCAGTGGCAGAAATAAGTAGGGTGAGGGGAATTGAAACCCCCAAAAGCCTTTACAAACCATGCCACCGTGGATAAGCCTACCCAAGCTAAGGTTTGAGGAATCGTGCCGACAGCTGAATGGTCGCAGGGTGGTATGCGGTCATGAACGATCCCCTTGAGGAACCGGGCGAAACCTCATTGTAACTAGCCTTCCTCTGGTAATACGGGGCTCTGCCAAAGGTGACCAACTCTTCCCTTGCTACTAGTGAGAACACACATGAACGGAACAACACAAATAACCTCATTTAATACTATTATGTTATTGGAAACACCGTGTACATCAGTTCCAAAGAATGATGAGTATCCACGAAAACTCGCCTCATGTATAAAAGTGAAATATCTAATTGTATTACACCCTGATTCAACCCAACAGAGAATACAACTTACATTCTCAAGGTAAATACCTATTTGTCGTAACGACAGATCCTCTGAAAAGGGTACAGGAGGCCGTATTTCCAGTTAATGACGTAGTTCCGACTGAAGTATAGACGAATGGACAATTTCATATCCATTAATTTTATGTGCTTTTTGATGTCAACTCCTAGTACGAAATTGCCTGCAATTAAATTAGCCGAAGAAATGGAGGTGGTTTCACAATATCCATTATGGCGATTGTTTCTTTTACAGCTTTGCAGAAGAGGTGATTCTAATGGTTTAGTTCACGACGGTTAATGTACCTGCTGAAATAAGTATAATTGCGTATATAATAATACTCTTGGTTTTAGTAGGATAAAACCTGATATATACAATAATAATAATGATACACATTGTTGAATGAATGATCATATGAACGAACCACTACATAATATAAAATAAAGTCGCTTCCTGCTGTCTGTCCCTATATATGCTCCGATCTTCAAAACTGCCCAACGGATTTTGATGCGGGTTTTTTTTAACAGATAGAAGGATTCAAGAGGAAGGGTTATATGTATCTGTATCTTTAGAGTAGGGAGGGCCAAGACTCGCCGAACACACACTCTCTTATTGACGATAATTTCTGTTGACACATCCTCCATAGATCCTCATATTATGGAGGCGTTTCCTTAGTTCACAGTGGCCAGTTGGAAATCCTACTGTTAAGCGTATATTTTTACTGGTCATCGCCAGATATTTTTTCGGCACCAGCTTCCCAGGGATTGCGCATGGGTGTAACATTTGGAGGTGGAGTGGAAGAGGAAGAGGGTGCACTTATAGTTGCTGCCATTCTGCCTCTTCGCTCTCTTTCTTCTTTTGGCCTCGGTGTAAATGCGCTCACGCCTTGGCCTTTGTGTTGCGTCATGAGGTGATCTGCTATGTTCAGCCTCATTCTGAGCGGTAGATTGGGGTGGACATTTCTGTTCATCCCCAGCCACCGCTATATATTGAGGTGAGCATTTCTGTCCAGCCTCGGGACTTCCATTAGTTTATCTCTCAAAGTATTTTTTAGTTTCACCCGGTATATCTTTTCCAAATGTTTGACCCATCGATATAGTAACCGATCGAAATCACCCAGCCTTCCAAATTATCCCAGAAATTCTATTATTTTCGATAGGTAAGTACGTCATCCCAGGAAAACTTCTCGTGGTAATCAGACCGAAAATAATTCATACCCAACCCATCTCCCTTTGCCGTCAACTTTTTCCACAGTTATTAGATTCAAGCAAACTTTATAAAGTTGCCAACAAAAACGTTTCGAACCGTTTTGAAATTATCTGTTCGCAACACATTTTTCCTTTTTACGCCCTTAAAGCTCGACTCGTTTTTCAGAGGCGATGGAACTTTTCCAAGGAAGCGGAATGTCACCGATAAGGCGGTGCACGATTCAGTGACGATATTATCCTCCATATGCCGGGAAACACGAGGCTGGATGAGTTTCCTGTCTTAGTTCGTGTTGCAGGAACACGTGCCAAACTGTAACCGGTTATTAACTGTTTTAGTTGGCGAGGGAATGAGAAAGGAGTCAATTTATCTCTATTCATTTTCCAGAAAGTAATTACAGGGTAACTTTCACAATTGTATTTTGTGAAGGTTTCAAACATGTTTTGAGGTTATACTTCTTTTGGGGAAAACTTTTAGGGAAAATCGTGACAGTAAATGTTTACATAATACCAGTGATGAAAAGAGTTTAATGGAGAACTTTTAAAATGTCACACACTGTCATATGTTTTGCAGCGCTATCTTGCGGCAATGGTCCCCTTGAAAAACAGATATCTTCTTCTTCTCTCATTTTTTCTATTATTGCTCTCACATAATATTCAAAGTGACCATTGCCGTAAGGTGGAGGTGCAGAACTCTAGGAAAACAACTGCAATAATTGATGTTTTCTTGGAGCGAAAGCGGAATCTTTTTCTGGAATAGTCACTAACTGAAACAACAATATGAGATAAATAGTACTCCATTACTATATAGAATATTCATCTATCATTTTAACTACGTGAGTCAGAAGATGTCAGACAAATGGTCATGCATTGTAACTAGTCCATAAGCTTGATCACGATTAGATAGTTGTGAGGCTATTAAATTGTCACGCTTTGTGATTGTTGAGCTGTTCCAGTATTCATTTAATAATATCCTATCGAAAAGTAACGTCTACCATTGTGTGTGGATTATATAGTAAGATTAGTGGGCGGTGATTTTTCTTGGTGGCGTGAGATGCATATTTTTTGAGTAAATATGGTTCTACCATTGTTTGTATTTGTTGCGAGTATTAACAAACCTCAAACCAATTTTTTTCTCAATATTTGACCTTTCAGAATAAAGCAATACCTGGAAAGCGATGCGGTCAAACTAGCCACCTGTAGATTTCTAATGTTTCCATGCTACAATAGTGACCCGAATGTAACGTCGACGACTTCTCAAATATACTTTCCCACTGAAAGCGATTACTCACGTCAGATAGTGATCGTTGCGGTCACGAATGGCCGTAAACAATGAAATGGAGCACGTTTGATTTGTGTTTCATATCGCAACGAGTGGAATCCACGTGCTGGTGCAATGTTCCAGAAAAATTGGGTCCAAATTTCACGAAATTATGAGCTATAATTGAATTAGATTCCTGGCAAATAGACACACTCTGTGTACACTTTTTCTTCACCAGAATTAAAAATATTCTCACCAGAGTTTCGACAACCAAGTTGGTATTAACACGATATTGCAATTCATACCGAAATGGCAACATAAAGTAGTTTGTTTCAACAACTGTTTGCGATTACAAATCAAAATTGAATTTCTTTATAATACAAAATTGACAATTCTAAACTTTTGAACCCATTAAAAAACAAACCCCTGATGATATCTGGTGTACAACGGGATTGTTACCGACCTCAGTTCCCGTTGCTTTCTGAAGATCGTCTTCATTATTTTATATCTTTGAAAGTTCGAATTTGAAGTCAAAAGAGTTCAGAGAAATTCATCTCTCAGATGTACGAGGACTAATTTTATGATTTGTCTTACTTACAAAAATGTTCTGAGACCGCTTGTCTTTGTCAAGCTTATGCAGTTGTCTGAAATGTTTCCAAAGAACGTTGACACTAGAGAGCGCTGATGTTGGAACTAAGTCTTAGATTTGAGAGATTACTAGTTGGTTGATATGCAAGTTTGCACAGATGCACAGAGTTGACATCAGAGAGAGCAAATGTCTGTAAACCCCATCGAAACTGTGATAGTTTCCATCACCAGGTAGAGGAATTCGAATGATTCAACTTCAATTTTTTCAAAGTTAAGGTTATTCCATTCGCAGTGGAAGTGAAGCATCTAGGTATTATTTTCAATAAAAAACTCTACCCGTAGTTATGGGCATATCATCTTAATTTCCTCAAATTTTCAACTGCTCTCGAATACGAAACCAGTTGAAAATAGTTGTTTCGCAGTTCATACATTCATCACATATTCTATCTATTACTCAACGGAGAAGCAACAGAGAAAACATAAGCTGAATAACCCAGAAAGAAATTCAGGAAAGAGGTATCTCAGTTCACCACAAGCAAATAAATCAAATGATACATGCTCTTCATTGTTACTTCTTTCCCAGTTTGTTCAAGGTCAAATCGATGAAAACCAACAACTTCGCTATTACCCGGGAGATGTTCAACTGTCTACTTTGGGGGTCCCAAAAGAAATCTCTACCTTTGTATTCTTATCTCGCACTATTCCACTGAGTGTTATACATCAGCTAACTTTTGAGGTTACCTTTTTAATATTTGAGGGGTCTCGACAAGTGATCCCGGTCAGTTGATAAACTTTGAACGTTTATTTTTTCCGTATCAAATATTTAACTTCTTGTTTAGTCCGATGAAATTGGGTATATTACTTTATCTTTCGCTTTAACAAAGTTGTCATGATTTAAATCAAAGAGACTGTAACAGGGTGTGGTATCCCTGTTACGGACATTAGCTTTTTTAAGCGAAACATTTTGTGATATATTTTTCAAATAAAGTTCGTGGAGATCAAATCGTTGAGGTGTAGTTTTTGAAATCAAGATTCGTAGTTCCATTTTCCATTTTTTAAATAACAAAATGATACAAACGACAAAAAATAAACTATAACGTCGATAAGCATGATGTTTATAGGTTCGTTCGTTTGTAGAAATTCAAATTGGTAACTACTGAAAAAATAATGAGAGCAAATCAACAATGCCATCGATCAGCTGGAAGCTAAAGTCCAGCAGATAGTAAATGTTTGACATTTGTTCGAGTTCGAGGAATGATACTCTGACGGAATTCGATTTTCAATTATCGGAAATCATCGACTTCATGTTGATGATATACACTACCTTGCACTGACGAGTGGCCAAACAGCCCGAAACCGGTCTGCAAGTGTGTTCCAATAATTGAGAATCTATTGCGGCAGTTGTATCGTCAACAGCATATGCAGGAATAACTTCTGTGAAGAATCCTGCACTGATACTCGTCGGATATAATCCAACGCCCTTCGTGGTATTAGCCAGGGGAGTAGTTGTTTTCTGATAGGTTTCCGCCCATTAACCTACTGTGTAGGGAGTTGAGACTGTCCTGAACGAATTGTTCTTAGATAATTTGACTTATATTAAATGACATTTGACAGATGTTGAATTATTGGAAACTATATATATCTATAGCACATACTATCGAATACTATTATGTCGATGTTTTGCCAACACTAACATGCTCAATTTCTCTTCAACAATGGTGTGAATGATACAGTTCATCAATGTTCTGTCCTTTTCATTGAAGTGAAAGATTAACTGATAGTGAATATTTGGTGTATGAATCGTAGTAAAAAACACATTTTATTTCCAACATGACGTTTTCAAATATTACAAATAAAGTATTGAATCGTCATGATTATGAATATCGCAAACCTGACTAATTTTATAAAGAATGCTGCACATAAGCCTTGCAAAAAGCTATGCGAATGAAGAAATTCGTTCACAACTTGGTTTTTGTTACGAGAGATATTTTAATGTGAATAAACGACATTCATTTTAAAGGAATATTATGAATAGGATGGACAAAACAATGCTGGTGATTCAAAATTCAATTATTAGTATTATTTGGCGGGTAAAATACGCACGTTTTGGTGAATGCGCTAGTATTCAGATCAATACTTGGCCTCCTAGATATCATATATGATATCGTTGCAAATAAATCTAAAAGGTTTCCTTGACAAATTAAAAAAAAACTTTTTGTACTTTCCACATCGCGTATAAACGTCTACTTCCATAACATTATCTTGATGGAATTATAAAACAAAGCGCTTAGATAATTATCTCGTAATTAATATAAATTCCTTCTTCTTTTGACGAAAGCTGACTCAAGGAATTAATAATTAAATATCCAGGAGAAATTTTCACGTAAAAAACGCGAGATATTTTGAGATTTCATTTCGATCGAGAGGAGCACTTTTGATCTCAGTCTGAGAGCCATGAGGATTGAATTATACAAGGCTGAAAGTTATACAAGAAGTATACAAGAAGGAAGACAATTGAAAAATTTTGCTCCAGTATATGAATTAAATACTATTATATTCACCTTGGTTTGTTGATTATAATCCATCCCGGAAGTATTTCTTTTACTGAATAATAATACACAACACCATTTAATACTAGTTATTGATAATTTAAAAAAAACACCTAAAATGGCGCAGTCGGTAGGATCTACACAAAACCTTTTCAAATAGTTGCGACCAATTATTTGCCCTTCAGGGTTACCTAATTTATTATTACTATTATTATCCGAGGAAATCTCGCAATTCATCCCATGCGATACACCTCTAATGAACCGGTTGGAAAAGCGAATGCTGATTGAAGTAGAAACCGCCAAATGAGCGTGTTAACTTTCAGTTCACGTAATCGGAATGCCGAACGAAAGGAATTAGAGAAATGACTGTTGCTTGTTCGAGAAATAGTTCATTTTGTCCGATAGAAGGAAATTAGGGACGAACTGTTGATCCGAATCGATAGGCATCATGCGAAACTCCGGCGAAAACGCTATTGCAAGAGAATCGCTTTGGGATGCGGATTTTTCTTCTCCGGTTCTTTTTTTGTTTCATTCGTATAGTTCACCAGAACAAATTAATTGAACACTTTCAGTAAATGGTCCTTCTGGCCGTATTCAATGAATATAATGGTCCTTCGAGCCAGATTTTACAAATAAAAATCAAAATGATCTTCGCGATCAATATTGCATTATTTCCTCTGTTAGAAATGAAGTTTGTTCTTAGTGGAAATTAACCTTAAATAACAGCGAATCCATCACGTGACTCACCTGTTGGGTAGAAGTTGAATCGTTGTCAAATGGTGGTTTTCCAGAGCAAAGAGTTCTGCCCATCATCGAATAAGCGAAGAGCATGATAACACCTAAAAAAAATAAAAAATAGGATATCTTTTGAAAAATTAGCTACTCTAGCTTGTATCACGGTGAATATTATTGCAAAAAGACTTGATGATGATTTACATTAAAGTTGCCGTTCAATCGAGCTTGACATCTTGACAATAGGATCTACCATTATCTATTTTTAAGAATATTAAGAATGGTGACTAGTTTTTTGCGTTTTTTCAATGGTATTGGTTACATTTATCAGTTTTCTGTGTTTTGATAAAAGAAGGTAGACAATTGAAAAATTTTGCTCCGGTATATGGATGATATATTATATGCATCTTAGTTTGTTGATTATAATTAATCCACCCTGGAAGTATTTCTCATATTGATTGATAATACATCACTCAATCAATACTAGCTAATGATGTAGAAAAATCTAAAAATGGCGCAGTCGGAAGGATCCCCCTAATAATAGATTTCTGTTGAATGCTATGTAGAACTATTTTTTCATGTGATACGTTCTCAGAAAGTTCATTCCACATAAACGGTGTTTTTGAGTTTATCTCGTTTAGACAGACAAACCCGGCGGTGGGATTTTGCTTTATAATATGTAGTGATTTACAATTGAAATGATCAGAAGTAAAAAGGAACGATGCGAAAATTTTATCGCCACGGAGCAGTAAAATAGTTTTATGCTTCTTCCTTTCGTTGTTTTTTATGTTGAGGATGTTTCATATTCAAGTTATGTTGGAGTTGCCAACAAATTGAATCATTACTTTTTACGATCCGAGCATAAATATTTGAAATTTTTGTGTCTCCGTATAATCAACGTTCATGTTTGTTGATACGATAAATTTTTTCACGAAAAAAACTGGAGTTGAGTTAAACGATTGAAGTGATCACTATCAGTTTTTTCACGAGTTGCTTTCGTAATTTTTTTGTCGATTTCTCGAAGGCACGAAAATTAAATCAATGTTCGAGGGCGAATATAAACTGTATTTGTATTTACAGACTGGACTAGTAATGTAAAAATTCAGCTGTGTTCAGGTGATGGCTCATTGTTTTACCTCCGTTTTTATTTATATTCGCAATGAAATGAATTATTTTGAGGGATCTCTTTCAATTTGTTTGAATATCCGAATATTATTCCACATTCGATGTTTTGAAACATCAAAATCTATTTTCGCCGGAGGAAAATCCACATCAATGTAAATTTCATATTAATTTCATTCTGCAATAATATTGAATTCACCACGAATTTTATTTTTTTAATAACTGAACGTAGTTAGGTAGTGGATTTGAAGGGGTTTCCCTCTTCTAAAGACACACGTAGTTTTCTGTAGATTTAACTTTTTAGGGATCCACACAAAAATAAATTGAATGACGACAAATCTGGTGGTCGTCAAGGCCACTCCCACAATTTAGTGCAGTGAAAATCGCTGATCTGAATAAGCAAAAGGATGAAGGTCATTTGATATTCTAATAGGACGTGCTCCTCCAGATTATGCCTCGATTGTTCGTCAATATCTAGACGAAAATTTCCACAGTACTGTGTTGTAAGAAGAGACTAACATACATACATCTATATGACCACCCAAAATACTCATTTGGGGCGTGAGAATACTCCTCAAACAACCAAGAGACTGCTGCCAGTGCTAAGAGCAGGACATTCTGATCAAGTGATGCTGAGTTCTTGAAAATTTTTTCGCCAATAGGTCTTCTTCTCGTCCGAGCCTGGAACAGGTCGTCGGTCTCTTCAAGTCTGACTATAAGCAAAAGGACATCACACTCAGCTGTTCGAGGTGTTAATTAGAAAGATTTTAGCCTTTTCAGATATAAATTCAAATTCAATTATAGCTCCAGGAGAATAATTTTATGAAGCACCTTGGTTGTTATGATCATATCCATTGACGTCATGATGTGAGTGATGTTTCTGGCCTCACCAATGGGTGCTAAACTTTCCCCAATTCTCCAGAAGGTCGAGACAGGAGCTACATGTATTCGATGACCAAGATGGGATTTTAGAAAAAGGAAGCTTCTCCTAAGTGGGTTATTATTATTGTTGATACATTCTATAAAATTGTTATTGACATTGACTCACCTGGCATGGCGAACATGAAAACGAACCAAACAATTCCTAGATCGCTCTGCGAAATGGGAAACAAACTCCAATCCTCTATGCACACAGACACCAGCAGTCCCAAATCAGTCGGGAAAAAATCCTCTCGTAGCCTGTATATGAACAGGATGGGCGAAAAAAGGACCAGCGACATCACCCATAAAGCTATGATTATGACGACGGTGGTCGTTTTGCTGAACGACCTGTATATCATTCCGAATGGCCTTGTGATGGCTAAGTATCGATCCAGAGCCATCGCTGTTATCGTGAATATGCTCAGGGACACCGCTATACCTGAAAAAAAGGGGATTGATGATTTTTCTTCTATTCGAAGACAAACTTTTATTGGATATGTTACTGCTGATATGATATTGTTTATATATAGGGACTTCTAGTTTAGAATCAAATATATTAAAACAGATTGCTGTCAACAATGGTTATCAACCATCTATCAGTGCTGCTCCAAGGCAAAAAAGTTTGTACGAAAATGACAGATGAAAATGTATGCTTTTCGCTATAATTGTATAGCATCAATGGTCGCCAACACTGTCATCAGAATAATCGACAAGTGACAGCTTGTCACTTGTCAATTAGCACATGCGCAGACACTCCATCGTATGTGAAATGTAAATATTTTGAAATGGTTATTACAAATATGTATATTGATTTGATTACTATTTGCATTATTATTAATTGAAAATTTTGCATTCACCAATCTAGCTTCAGCTTATATTATGTATCAAATCAAATGACAACACAAAGTCTCCTAAAACAAAAATCGAGAGGGGTGAGGTGAACTACCAACTACCATTCATAAATATTTATTTCAAATTCGTCATTTTTCTTTTAGCGTCAGCGGTTTTCGTCAGATTTGACATTTCACGGATCTGAAAAATAAGTGCTTTGTGCTCTGTGATCGACGTGATCGAGATCTATGACTTCTATGAGTTCTATGACAGACGGAAACGCCTATCATAATGAGACGGAAGACATAAATAGACAGATTATTCGACTATCGAAGGACGAAGTGATTGAAATTTGTAAATATATACCGTGACCTCGTTTGAATCAATTCAAAACCAAATGAAGTCAAAATGTATGCCTTTCGTCAATGTGATATGCATGTAAGAAAAAATATTGAATTGTATAGCTAGGAGCAGCCCTGTCATCTATTATTCACAAATTAATTAGTAAATTTTAACACAGGTCAGATAGAAGATTGGCCTTCAACTCTACCACCTTGGTTAGTTCACCTTCTGTGAAATATTTTTCTTTACCTCATTTTAACCAAAATATGTGTACTGTTATTTCCAAATTTATAGAAAATACCATACTTGACACAAACATTTCTTTTTAATCTCAAAATACCATGAGTAACTTTTCAGTAAATTCCAAAGACAAAATTAACAAATTACACAAAAGTGGAGTCTATAAGCTTGACTGCTCTGATTGTTCTGCATCTTATATTGGTAGAACCTGTAGACCTCTTTTTACTCGTATTAATGAACATTTAAAAAAACCTGAAAAATCTGCTTTTGGCCATCACAATAAATTTCACAATCATAATTGTAGTCCCAACAGAAATTCCAAAATATTACATAAAATAGATAATAAAAATTTCCTTAGACTTTTTGCCAAAAGACAGATCTTGACTATTCTAAATTTATTTTGATCATTTTTAGACTTTCCTTTGAATACCTACATAACCTACTGAGTTTAGAGAAGTAAATATATCAGACTTAGAATAAATAAACAATTGCCGTTTCCTAGTGATTTTTTCAACAACTATATCACTTCTCCAACAGGTATTCTCAAGTAAATGAGATTTATAATGGTCCCTTTGGAATATATGATATTTGTGTTGCTTATATGTATAATAAAATTCTCTACTGGAAAATATCCTGCCCAATTGAAGTTACAATTGAAAACTTCTGGAAACACTCACATTGAAGGTAAGGCGATATTTTGCAGGTTAGTTTCCCAAATGGATACATCGTAGTGTAGGCCAGCCATGCTGCATTGGGCATGCATACCAACGTGACGAGTAGATCAGCTATGGACAGATTGACTAGGAAGTAATTGGTAACACTGAAACAAAAAATTAACGAAATTGCAAGAATTGTGTGATTGGACAATGTCTACGTAGTGTATATATATTATATACAACCAAAAGGTAGCTACACAACAAAATTGTGGGAGAAGTCCGGAATATAGGTACTTATCTAAAATTTCTGTTTACGATTTTTTCCTCGAAATAAGTTGAAGGTTCATGTCACAATTACAACTGCGAAGAATTAGTTGTGGCTTCTTTTCATTTACATGTCTCCCCCATTTTGAATTTCGGGGCAAGATGTCACAGTCGAACGAAATTTTCATAAGAGGGAAACATCACTACATAGTATAAAACGACGAAGTTGTTATGGCCCTTCACAGCATGTAATTTAAATGAATATTACTTATTCAAAATACAGGAACATAGCGGCGGTACCGGCCGGTGGCCTGTGCCTAAAAATAGTGCTTTATCCTCTATATGTAGTATCAGCATGGCACCCGTGCGGAGCCGGGTGCCATGCTTTTTGAAACTCTGGTTGCGTAACATGAACTTTCGATTCGATATAGCCCCAGAGAAAAAAATCGAATTTGACATATTGTATGATACAACAGTAACAAGGGTGAAAGATACGAGAGATGAAACCTAACCTCAAAAAAGTTTGTTTATCATTGAATTCAATCCTTGACCAAGATAATACTGGTATATAATCTACAAATTCAGGTAAACACATACGTCACAGTAATCTTCACAAAAATGAAGTTGAGTTTTGGGCAATATTTCCTTGAAAGTTTGAGTGACGATTTTCATGTTGGTTTTTTGTACGAGGCGAATATAAATAACTTGCTCGGAGTTTTTATAAAAGTATTAGTACACTGAGGAACTGTACATCACCGATAAACCTCAGAACTCACATTTAATAACGGTTATCAGCAAATTTATGGAAGAGTTTCTAATGTTTACATGTAGTCTACTCGAAAGTGACGTCACAAGCGACGCCATGACACTGTCGAGTATTTTTGTGTGCATATTTGTGTATTTATTTCATATTTTTATGGGTAGTAGAGATCCGATATTTTAAACGGACCACTCTATAAATATTTTTTCCACTGCGTCCACATCCAACGGTACCAGGCATCAACTCGCGAATTACAAACTCTTTCGCGTTAAATTATCTGCAAAACCTTCCCGCCTTTAAATCCTTTAATCGGATTTTCTTTCAGCCCACCGAAATTATCATAACGAATTGGTCTGTCAGGACGGTTTTGTCTCCGCTGCAATCCCGCCCTGTGAAAGGAGCAGATTTTCTATTGTTTCGTTGGATAAACTCGAGTGGTTCGGTTGTTCTTTCGAATATTGTTCAAATAATGAGCCCGAAATTGTTAGGAATATGACTGGAATTGTGTTTTCTTTTCGTCATAATGGAAATGGTTTGACGAGACAAGGACTGTGCTTATAACGACAAAGATAACGTCGGAGATATTTTTATATATACTTAGGGCCATTGAAAATGTGGAAAACTTGGTCCTTCTCAGTTGGTGTTTGGGAAAGAATCGCTTAGTCCTGAAACAGTTCATTACGACTTGTTATCTGAACTACTGGAATGGCCTGCATAGTCACCAGATTTGAGTTCGTCTATGTTGGGGAGCCGGGAGTGGTTCATCTATAGACTAGTGGGTGGTCGAGTTGTTGTTCCCGTTGTTCCGATTACTGTAACTAGGATGCTTGTATTTAACCCTGGTTTTATATGATCATCAGTCCCTGTATCAGTCATTATAAGGTTAGTAAGAAGACAGTACAATTTGTATCGTGATTTAATTAGGCTGATTCTCTTCTCGCCATATACTAACATTACCACATACTAGCTTGCGACCTTTCAGCTACAAACTCCGTTTTTGTTCACAATCTACCTGAGAATTCTCAAATCAGTTGCACTCTCCGAATAACTGTTGTCTAAACATCTCCTTGTCCCTTTGTACACTTTATTGTACGTAAACAGACCCCTTGTTAGTCTTGTTTCTCCGAAACTTCACCTGAGGCTTAAACCTTCATGAATAAACTTAACCAAGACGTTCTATTCGAGAGACATTTGCCTTTACAAATTTCGGATATTCCTTTGAACGTTCTGTGAACACTTTCAATTGACGAAGGTAATTAAATTGGCCATGGAAATTATGTTATCGATTAAGGTGGAAGATATTTGTTAGAAATTCATGAAGCTTTTGTTCATTTTGCTTTTTTTCATCAGTTTATATCAGTTTCAGTGTAAAATGAATTGAATTTCCATTGTGAATTTCCCTAAAAAATTTTATTATTTTCAAAACAGAATTTTGGCAACCATGTTCAGATTTCAGTAACTCATTGTTCCATGATGTAATTGAAACGTCACGCTTGTCACTTGTCATTCATGTTTCATACCATAATGTTCTTATTGATTCGGCCAGTTCAACAGTGATATTTCTCAAATTTTCAACATTGACCATTATACCAGTTCTTCAAAGAGAGCAATCGATTAATTTATCTCACACGGCTTTGGAGCATCATCTAGAATGAGGCCAAAATTCGCTACTCCAATTAGTTTCACCAGCCCTACGACGGTATCCTCTCATTACAATACTTATTACTAATTGCAACGTTACCTTTATTCGTCTGTAGCGTTGAGGGCGTACTAATTATGCCAGATCGTCACTTCAAAACCCTTAGCTCGAGCTTAAAACGATTCATTCCTCCTAAAACACTAGAAACTATTCAAGAGGATATGTTTAGGTCGCGGCAATGGATAACTGAATATTGTCAAATATTTGTACCCGGACCATCATTGAACAAGATGATACTTGTAGTTGTAACAATTCTTTCATATGTGACACACTTGATGGACACGTCCCAGGTAGCAGTAAAAACATACACGTCAAACGACGGTTTCCAAATTTCCATTAAAACGTTTTTTTCCGCCAGGATTCAATTCTTTTTTATTCCGTTGATCCATTGGTGGCTCGTAATGATATGTTGAACAATATTGTGATGCTATCATTATAACATCGAAAAAATCTGGTATATCATGTCAGACTTTTTGATGCCATTGAGAAAACAAGACTACTTGCAATTGAGTTGTACAATTTATATCTTAACACGTGATTTTTGAGGAGATATATATTTCGTTGTTATGTTACTTGTTAACGGTGTTACATTTTTTTCGCAGATCTTGTATAAATGACAGAACAACGAAAACAAAAACTTACTTCATCACTTTACTATTCATGAAACTTTAAATTACAAAACCGAAATGAACTAGACATTTGTCGCTTGCTTATTTCGAGTTCCGTGCTTTGACAGTTGACAATTTTAGACATTCAACTGCTCCCAAACGAAAGAATTTTTGATTCTTGTGAAGATAAATCTTTGAAATGGTACCAGTAATGTTGTTTCATAGAAGAAAGCAAATCAATAGGAGTTCAGGAGTTATGTATACGATTTATTCAGAAAAAATGCTGGTAAATTTTCGTTTTGAGGCCACCCGGCGATTTTGAAAAAATTTTTGAGTGTATTTATGTATTTTGATGCGTAGATTACGAATCCGAAAGAAAAAAGCGGCGCTCTCCCTTATTTACAAACTTACGGCCCTTCAAACTTCAGAAAAAGGCAACTTTTTAGCTTTCTTTTTCACACGATAAACTTTTTAAAAAACAAGCATTTATGCACTAGCTCACCTTTACAACTCATTCCTCCTTCATTGACACTTTTCACTTCAACAATCAACATTTTTCCAATAGAAATGTTAAAAAATGTATGGAGCTGCTTTTTGGTTATATATCTCTGTATTAAACGTTTTTAGGGTTAATGTTATAGTCGGTACGACTGATTCTATCAATATTACTAAAGTAATTCAAATGTTTTTTGCGTTCATTCTTTAGATCATAGGTTGGTGTTTGGTATTACGAATTTGAAATAGTAGGCGGCGACAAATACCAACCACTTTTTTCTGAAATGTCACTAGTAACTAACCTAGAAATAAAAGAATGTCACTAGAAGAAGCATTCGTTTTTAAATTGAGTTTTTTATAAGAAAAATGTTAATTGTTGAATTGAAAAGTGTCAAATAAGGAGGAATAAGGTGTAAAGGTGACTTAGTGAATAAATTCTTGTATTTTCAAATAGTTTATCTTGTGAAAAAGAAGGCTGAAAAGGTGCCCTTTTCTGAACTTTGAAGGGCCGTAACTTTGTAAATAAGGGAGAGCGCTGCTTTTTTCTTTCGAATTCGTAATCTACGCATCAAAATACGTAAGTAAAGTCAAAAATTTTTTCAAAATCGCCGGGTGCCCTCAAAACGAATATTCACCCTGATTTAGAGTTTTAGAATATCAAAATCTTGAAAATGAAAAAGAATTAATGCTCCGTTTTGTCAAAAATATGCAAGGTATTCTACTGTTCTTCTACTGTTGTGCAGAAAAGACCTCTTTGGGTAAACTCAACTGTTTAATTTCCCTTATATATTCCCCTTTAGATTCCCACAACGGTAATTTTAGTTTTGAACCAAACAAAAATTCAGATCAAATCTACGCTATTAAACTTTAGCCTACGTTCCCCTCGTCGTCATCGTTCTCAGTATCGTTATCTTCACTACCGTTTCCTATATCGTAACGAATTATTTTTATTGTCGAAAGTTTTTATCAAAATACGATATGAGAATAAAAGGATAACTCACCTCCTCATGTACTGATCCCTAAAAACGACAATAATTACTATGACGTTGGCACAGAACGCAGTAAAAAACAGTGGAACGTACAGGCCTATAATATCATAGTAGTTGTCTCTATATTTGCTAAGTATCAGTTCATCTGTGAACGGATTCTTCGTGGTATTGTTCATAGTGCCCTCTGCCAGTGATGGCTGGTGATTATCTAAAAAAAAAAAAGATTTAGTTTACTACCCCACTACCTCAACACTTTTGGAATATGGCGAATATTGTTTCTGTTTCTATTTGTTCATTCAAGGAGCCGCAAACCATAAAAGATTGGGAACATCTGGGCTGGATGATACGCAACGAAAACCGATCATCCTGCCGCAGGGCTCCAACCATTGTTCTACATTACAGACGATTGACGTCCCACCTACGTCAATGAATTTCGTAATAGATTTCGTGCAAGACTTCGACCTGTTCCACCAAATCCATTGTGGTTATCTCTTTTCAACAGGGGTTCGTTTGTTTTCAGTCCACTCGGATTTGGTATATCCCACAGCAATTCTGAACGATATCGAGAAAAGCAACCCATGTATAGTACGATGTAGCGGAAAAACCCTTCGAGATAATTATTTCTTTTTCTGATATCTTGTTACGGGGGCTTTTGTAAGAAAGCGATTGTGTTTTCCCAACAATTCCGAGAAATCAGTAAAACGTTGTTTTATTATTTGTGTGGAGGGTGCAAAAGAGATTATGAACTGAGGGTTTTCATTGTCTAGAGAAGAAAGGAATAATCCCGCTGTCTTGTTTGGAAGGATTACCTCACAGAGGGTCCTTTATCTCAAACACATTCGTGAAAACCACCACTTGTGAAAATTGTCTGATTTACTGACAAAAACATGTGAATGTAAATAAGCCAAATTTTCATGTGAACGATTATGGCTGGTTTCTCTTTTCTTTGAATCAGTTTTCTAAACTTCAATAAGATGTGTCTCGATCAACTCATACAGGGGTGTCAATTTGAAAACTTCCTACCCTCAATGTACCTTCCTTCCAGTAAACAATATGAGGATCAAGGACTATTTGTAGCCCTCATGTTTCAACCCCCCAGGAGGGTTAGATGTTACCCTTGGAATTTTAAATGGGAAGGGGGGTCAAGTGACACATCATTTTGATTGGCGTTCAATTCTGTTGAGAATGGTACCCTGCGTACCATTGCGTTCTAAACTATCGTTTGCGTTCTAAACTATCAGAAATAATTATTAGCAGCGCAAGTTGAAGTCTTGGGAACATTTGCTACAGAGCTAGGAACTCCTTACGATCAATATCAGAACAGACGGGAATGTCACGCGAGTCTAGAAGAAAAGCTTTGCGAATGCATACATTTCACCCTTAAAGAATGCGGAGTTTTCAAAAGCTACACGAGAATGATTATGATAGAAGAATCGTTTTGTGAAATCATATCTCGTCGAGTCAATACCATCCCTAATCTTCTGTTGAACATCTGTTGAATACCTCACGTGAAAGTAAGAATAGAAGAGAGACATCTCCAACTTTTCTTTCATCATCATTTTGTGAAAATCTACAATTATTGTGTCTGAAGTTGCATCGGGACACGTAGAAATATGGCCTGTGATTCCCAGACAACAAAAATAGGGACAAACTCCACAAAACATTAATTTCTGCACCTTTTCACAAATGTTCTAGTAACACTTCTGAAACGTCTATTTCTCTATCCCAAAAACCCCGATCATACGTAATTAAGAGCCATAATGAACATATTGAATTACTATTAAACTAAACAGAAACCGAGAAAGAATTTAAGTCGGTTGCCGGTTTATGTATTTAATAGTCTATTGGGATTGCTCGTAAAATAATTTATGGTAGCAAATCAAATAAATGGATAATGATTTATTCTACACACATAAAATTGAGATTGCTCAATGAACAGCCCATCAATAAAGTTAATGAAACCGGTCGGTTGTGATAGAGAAAACGGGCTCTTAATAATTTTGAGTAGAAAAATTATGATGTATTCACTGTGTGTTGAAACAAAGAGTGACAAATATTGAAAATATTTTTTTCATTGAGTAGACATTCGATCAATCTATCACTACTCTACAGGATTCGGTAAGTTTTGATTTATAACTTTCCAGAATTTCATCAAAATCGTGAAAAACGAGAAAAAAATTACTTTTCTATACAACTTTGTTAGTGGTATGAAGACAGGGATTTGAAATCCCTGAAAAAGCAAAATTAAAATGAATAGGGAATTCAAATCATATTACAAGTACAGTTCAAGTAAACGATATAGTGCAAACTACCTACCAACAGCTCTCCTTCAATAATATAGTTAGGGAGCTAACTAGTTTCGTTATTCAATATCCGATTAAATAAGAACTATATAATATATATAATAAATATTTCATTTATATAAGTGAGTGGGAAAGTAGGGATTCAAATAACAGGGTGATAATTGAAAATATTTCTGAATACTACTTTCTTCGAAAGCTTCTGATGATTCCTCTTCCATATTCTCTGTTTCGCCCTCACTGTCGTCATTTAAATCAATAATAAATCTATTTCCACCATTAATATGGAAGTGTCCAACCTCCATATGATCTTTTTCAACTAAAATAACTTTTTTAATCCTTTTCTGCCAGTCTTCTTCGGTGATATTATATACTTCTTCTTCAACTAGCTCCCTCACCTTCTAATCAAATTTTGGGAAATTATTTTTACGCCTGATACTTTGTTTCAATTTTCCCCAAATCAACTCGATGGGATTGAATACACAAAAATAGGGGGGAAGTCTCAGTATGGTGTGTCCATACTTTTCAGCAATACCTTCAAGGTCTTACACTTTTTCAAATGTTTTTTTCTGCAAAATTTCAAGTAGTTGGTTTTTGGTATAGTTATCTTCAAAATACAAATTGTTATCCATTAAAAAAACTTTGTATTTCATCTTTCCTCGAATTTTTATTCGGTACTTTGAGCTGTCGATGTGTTTTCAAACCATTCCTCAAAAATATTAGCTTCCATGTTCTTATGATAGTCAACATTGCAGTCCTCAAGTTTTTTCCACATAATTTCAAAGAATTCAGAACTCATCCTTCATTTCCTCCGCAATGCACAATGATTAGTCACGATCTTTTACTTGCAGGCATGTTAGGCGTACATATTCTCGAACCATCAGTCCACCCTTTTGTAACTGTGTCGTGAGTGTCATACCAAGTTTCGTCCAAATAGAAAATTTGCCATTTTTTTTCAAAAAAGTCACTTCACGATTTGATTTCCACAAACGTGAGGTGTAGTTTTTTGAAACTACTATGGATCTTCACCAAGCCGAATCAATCAGAAAAAAAAAAGAAAATTTGCCGTTGTTCTTGTCTATATTTAGTTATTTTGTTCTAAGTATTTGTTATGAAATTCCACTATTCTTCTGCTTTCCATAACTGCTTGACGTTTGTTTATTATTTTAAATCTGAATCCTAGTTTCTTTATCCAATTCTGAAGAGTTTTGTCACGGCAGGTCTCATTATGGCCGGAAGTATTCAATTTCTTCCTTATGATTTCAGTTGTAGGAATCTCGCTTTTGTAACAATCGTATATTGTTTTTTTCAATGATTTTATTAGATGAACATCTAAAGGTATTGGTAATGCCGTATCACATCGCGTCTTGCGTTCATAAGTTTTGTTTTTGACTATTTTACGTACAGTTGAGAAAGAAATTTCGGTAAAATCTCATGTTGCTTGTAATAGTTTGTTTCTCTCGAAACCAAACTTGAGATGTAGATTCTTATATACATTGAAAAATACTTTCTGTGTTTCAATATTCTAATGCATCCGAGTCTTATTCACTGGTATATCTTTTTCGCATTGTTCACCATCGCTATTGGAATCACTACACAGGAAAAGTCTGCTTTGTTATCATACTCGTTATTACTATTAGTACTTTTTCAAGGACGCTACATTTTAAACAGATAACAAAAATTTCAAGTAATTATAACTGCACCAGTATCGAATTTCAACACTCAACACTCAAATTTGATTTTATGACTCTTCAGTCAATTATTAAACTTGATTAGTATCCAATACGAACCGCCAATTCTTCAGCCCACGTGGACTAGTTGGGAGCGGCATTATTTCTCTGTATTGGTTTTTTGGCCTTTAAGATGTCGATAGCTTTAACAATTCACAATACAGGTTACTTCGACTATACCTATATTTTTCTCCACTTGGAATAGATTTTCGGATTGTGGTTCATAATACTTGAAATAATCTAAAAAAAAGAACGATGAAATGTTCAATACACCTTCACAATCAGGTTCTTGACTCGGATCAAAGAGTTCATGCATTTTCTACCTTGCTTTGATTGCACGCGCGGTTTTAAGAAGCCGATAAAAACCCACTCTGATCGTTCCTTCTGACAGTTTTCTTTGGCCTTTTTACCGTCGTAATTAATTTCGTAATCCGTTACGTCAGTGGATGCCTCGCTGTGTATACAAGATAATTGAACTAAGATGCCCCATGAACTTCTGTAAACATTGTTAATTTGATCCAACAAAGAGTCAAATATCAACTCGAAGTTTCCTGAGAAACCGCAAAGTCGTTTTTATGGCGAGAAATGGTATAATGAAGCAGTGGGTGTTCTCTATTTACAATTTTCGAGATGCAGGGTCGGCATTGATGAATTTGGGAATTGTATCTTTCAGTAAATATCGAATAAAATACTTTTTTTGGGGTGTTTCACCTTTATATATATACTTATCTGTTCAATATATATATATATATATATCTTTCTAACTTTACTAACTTATACCTCCCTCATAACTTCCGTTCGCCTCGCCCGGTCACACTTTTTCGTAACGCTTTCGTCACTCATACACCAGCTTACTTCCCAAGTCAAGCGCGCGTAAAACAGTTTTACTTCAAAAAGCTATCTCATAGTTAGTACATGGATTCATTATATTTGTCACTAAGAAAATTGTTCTGTTTGTCTGTAACTTGACAATTTGACAATGGGGAATGTTCCTCAATTTGGGTTATTACAGCAAATGCAAGTTTGAACAAAACAAAGTTGAGTTTAATTCATGAGTTTTTTAAATTCACTCAGAAAAGTATTCAAATTGATGTTTCAAATGTTGGGTTTTAATTTTGAAAGAGATTTGTTTCTAATTCACATATTGGCAACAGCGCCTATATCAAGTTCAAATAATT